TTTTTTGGTCTATTTGCTTGTTAGGGTATAGAATCCTAATTGTTTTTATTTTCTTTCAATACTTTAAAGATATGACACCAGTCTTTTGGTTTGCATCGTTTCTCAACATAGATCTGCAGTCAGTCTGTTTGCTCTTCCGCATATACTGTGTTTTTTATTTAGTTCTCCCATGAGTCACAGAGACAGAGACAACACTCCCAACAGTGTCTTACTGACACAATTCACTCCCTGCTTTAGCCAGACCCAGATCACCAGCCACATGTGACTAGAGTACTCACGGGGATCTTTGGACTTGTACCCAGAACCTTCCCATGTGGGTCAGACTGGAAGAATATAATGTTTTACTGATGCATCACTGTCTGGCTCCTACCATTTTTTCTTTTTCTTTTTTTTTTCCCCCAGCAATTTGATTGCGATGTTCCTGGACATATTCGCTTGTGTTTAGGTAAGCTCAAGAACTTAAAAAGTAGATGGAAGATACTTTAGAAATAATAAAACACTAACATTGAAGAATGAATAACTTAAAATTAAAAATGAACAGGAATGATGTATCAGAAGTTTGTTGAGCTTCTCAAACTAGTAGGTTGAGGTTTGAACCAAATACAAAATATGTTATAGTCATTATTTCTTTAGATAGTTTTTCATTTCCTTCCTCTGTTACCTTTTTCGGTCAAAGTACTCACATGTTAAAATCTCTGATATTGTCACACGGTTCATAAAGACCCATTCATTTTCTTTCAGCCTGTTTTTGCTTTGTGCTTCAATTTTGGTAGTTTCTAGATTATGAAACTAGATTATTTCTTGATTATGAAACTAGAAGAAGTATGAAGTTTGACTCTTCCTCTTACATAATCTAATCTTCTGATACATCATTCCTGTTCGTTTTTAAGTTATTCATTCTTCAATGCTAGTAGCTTATTATTTCTAAAGTATCTTCCATCTACTTTTTAAGTTCTTGAGCATAATTGTAACTGTTTTAGTCTTTATGAAATCCAACATCTCCGTTTTTTATTGCTTTTGTCTTTGTTTTACTTTTTAGAATCTTATTGGCTGAAGCACCTCTGGCTTCAGACCCTGGAATTCTCTTTCTCTCAATAAACTTTCCTTTTTCTCTTGAGATAGTGACTCCTGAA